AGGTTAAGAGCAGTGGCTGCTCTTCCAGAAGACCCAGGTTCGGTTCCCAGCATCCACATGGCAGCTAACACCTGGTCCATAACTCCAGTTCCAGGGGATCTGGTGCCCTCTTCTGGCCTCCACAGGCATGACATACATGTGATGCACTTATATACATGCAGGCAAAACACACAAAATATAAATAAGTAAACAAATAAATAAGTAAACAGATGCTCCTGAGAGCTGAGTTCCCCACCTGATTAGTGGGGTCACATTCTGCCATCTAGCCTCTGCCAATGAGAGCTCAAAATATCCCCAGCTTAGTGAGCTCAAAATCTTCTATGTGGCCTTTCTCTCCCTGCCATGAAGTCCTCCTTGGAGCTGTGGCTTTCAGTGCTGAGCCCCTCATCCTCAGATAGCAATACCATCCTTGGAGGTTTGGGGGAAGTGCCAAGGACTCAGCTGGCAAGATCAGGGATCCAAACTCTCATGGTATTTGGGGGGCACTCATATTCACTGAAGAGTGGATCCTGTCAACAGTCCTTTTCCTCTGTATCCTGAAAATTCACCTCTGGAGTCTGAGCTTCAGTCTTCCTACCTATAAAATGGGCCCAGTAGACCTCACAGGGCTCTTGAGGATGTACCAGTGAGCTTCTCTTTGCCTAAGCCCCTGGGCTGACCCAGACTCCACAGAGGCCATGTTATCTGTCATGCTCTGTACTATGACCTGCTGTATGTGTCATTCCCCTGCAGCTGGATCTACCAATCCCACCCTTCCAGAGCTTTCACTAGATTCACTGCTGCTACGAATAGGTCTCACCATCAAAACAGATAGAGTGTAATCAGTGACTTAAAATGACCCAGCTGCGGAGCTGAAGAGATGGCTCAGTGGTTAAGAGCACTGGCTGCTCTGGCAGAGGACCTGGATTTGATTCCCAGCACCCACATGGCAGCTAACAACCATCTGTAACCCCAGTTCCAGGGGATCTGACACCCTCTTCTAACCTCCAAGAGCATTGTATGACATGGGTTCACTTACAAACATGCAGGCAATAGACTCATACACATAAAATAAAAATAATAAACAAAAATATTTAAAATGACCCAACTGCATCCTGGCTATAGACCCTGTTTCCCAGGTCATCTAAAGTCACTTCCAATTTCACAGGATTAATTTGCTGCTTAGACTCCCAAAGAAATTCTATCACTGCCCCCACCCCCAGCCCTCTCTCTGAGCCCAGGACAGAATAACTTAGCTTCTTCTGGGAGAGTGTGAAGGACAGAGAGCAGAAGGCAGAGCTCCCACCTTGTTTCTTTTCTTCTCCAGCCCCTCACCACCCCAGCCCTACAGCCATCCCACGAAACCCAGCACCCTGGGGTGTCCCTGGGGAAGGGTGGCCCATCTCCCTTTACAAAGACGAAGGATTGGGCTAATAAGAACCAGCTGTGTTGCTGGTGGGTTTCACTCCACCCCTCCCCTGCCCTAGCTCTGATAGCTGTGAGAAACTGATGACAACCTGTTTGACCTCTGACCTCTGAACTTGACCCGCTGCTAATACCTCCAGGGGCTGATTGCCGCTGGAGCCCTTTGTCTCGGGCTGTTTGGAAGCCTGGACAGACAAATGATTTCTATTTGTCCTCTGGTGCCGTGGATGGAGCTGATCGATAGAACCCGCGAATGATGTCAAGGATTTGTCACTGTGGCTTATGAATGACAAAAACGCTCCTCGACCCCCCACTCCACCTTTCCCCCCTCCCCAAAGAAACACCTTTTGGGGGAAAAAGGCTGAAAATCAGAGAAGGCTTATTGATTTTTTTTTTTTTTTTTTTGTTTTTTTAAATAGCAGCTCGAACCACAAAAGAGAGAAAAAAACACTTCTCAGTGCTAAAATGCAGCGAAGAGCCTCCCAGAGAACAAGACTGGTGATTAGATCAGCTATTGCATTTAAGCAGCGCAGGCCGCACACACTGCTCAATTTGGTCTGCTGAAGGCTGGACCAATTTCTTACCCATTTCCAAGCAGCCTAGACATGAGGGAGCTTCGAAGAAGACTTTGTGCTCTTCTTTTCATCTCCATCTGCCCCTAGTTTAGGGACAGTTTCTGTTCCCAGCTTCTCTCCTCTTCCTTCCCAGGTCAGGCATGGGCTGGCACCCTGGCATATGGGCCCAAGTCAGTACCTAGCATCCTTTTGATTTCAGATTCTTATTTGGAAAAAGGATGAGGAAGATAGGAACACAATAGCAATGATGTGAAGACCTTCCTGGTCCTCCATGTTGGGGGGACACAGGCTGAGCCTGAGAAGCAACAGGTAGAGAAGAGGGGTGCCCCCACCTCATTTCATCATCAGAGGCTGCCATAGAGTGCAAACGATGTCTGCTGGTTCCTGGGAAGCTTAGCCTCTAGCACAGGCTACACCACGGTGGGGGCTGGGGAGACCTGCCTGGCTCAGTGGTCATGGGAGAGGGGTGTGAGGCTGCTGATTGAGGATAGATACCTCTATTGAGTGTGGATAGAGAAACAGTAGGAGAGGGTGGACCACTGCCTTCATGGTTGGAACACCAAGGGCCTTAGTTGTTTGAATCTCCAGGCAGTGCCTTGCCAGAAGCTCCAGGGCAATCTTCTTTGTGTGAATATTGCAGACTTCCTATCTGTGAGGTGGGCATGCAATGGAATCTACCTTGTGGAGGTGCTGAGAGTGTTCAGTAGGATAAAACAGGTAAAGTATTTTGATTCTCTTGCAGCATGTGCAGTCGGATCTTGTTTAATGATTATTTTAGCCACTGGTATTTGAAGATTTGCTTCTAGCCTGCACTTCCTCTCAATCTTAATGGCATAAGGCTGAGTACATTCCCTGTCTCTCACACATCTTAACCAGAGTCAGGACTTGGGTGTGGTGGCATAAGAGTGAAGGGAGTAAAGGGAGCTCTGGCAGGATGTGTGGCTCTGGAGAACACCAGAATATCTCTCCCCAGCCATAGTCCTGAGCATAGGCAGCGGGAATGCCTGCTGTCAGATGGGGCTCAGACACAGGAGCCTCAGGATGCACTTGGACTATTGCAGTAGCCACCTGCCTGGCCTCAGGTTTCTCCCATCTATCACCCACAGAGTTACCCTCCCATCTCAAGTCCATCATGACACTTCTCTATTTAGATTCCTCCCATCATGGCTCTTCTCTATCCAGGATAAAGCCCAACTCCTTATCGTAGCATTCCAGGCCCTTCCCAACTATGTTGTAGCCTGTCACCTCAGTCTCCCCTTGCCTCTTGAGTAGCTGGGTGTGATGTTTCACCTGCATTGTCAACTTGGATAGATTTAGAATCACCATAGAAACATACTCCTTGGTATGTCTCTGAGGGGTCCTGGACTGAATAAAAAAGGAGAAGCAGAGCTGAGCATCAGCATTCATCTCTCTGCTTCCCTTCTGTGGACACAGTGTAACTGGCTGCCTTAGCTCTTGCCACCATTCCTTCCTTGCCATGACAGACTGTGCCCTCAAACTGTGAGCCAAAATAAACCCTTCCTTCCTTCAGTTGCTTTTGTCAGATATGTTGTCACAATGATGAAAAAGGGAATGAATACAGAAAATTGGTACCAGGAATGAGATTGTCGCTGTGATAAACCTGAAGATGTTTTTTGTAGGTGCTTAGAACTGGTTTGAAGGGGGAATGTGGAAAAATCTAGAGGTATAGGCTAGAGAAGTCCTAGAATGCTGTAAACAGAGCTTAACAGGCCATTCTTCTGTGAGTTTGTAAGACGAAAATGCTGCAAGATGTGTGGACAGTGGAGGCCTGACTCCTGAGGTTTTCGAAGGGAATGAGGACTCTCTTGGGAACTGGCTTAGAGGCTATTAGTGTTCTATTCTGGCAAAGAATCTAACTGCATTTTGCCTGTGTCCAAAGACCTTGAGTAAGGCTGAATTCAACAGTAGTAGACTAATTACTAATATATTTTAGTAAAGGAAATTTCAAGAGAAGATAGTATTCAGGTTGTACTACAGCTGTTGCTACTGATGTTAGCCAGATCTAAAGTGAGAGCAGAAGGCAAAGCAGAAAGATGGAAAATAGGCAGTTTGGTGAGGAAGGAACATGCATGAGTTTAAAGTTACAGACAAGGCAGCTGAGAAAGCAGCTGTAATTGTTAAAGAGCTTAGCGCCACTAAAGAGTAACCTTGTGCTCTTCACTGGGACAATAGGAAAGGTGCTCTGAGAGCAAGACCCCATACATCAAGAAAGCTCCAACTTGTGAATCCATTTGAAAGAAGAGATCCTGAATTGAGAATGTAGTTGTAAGGTCACATAGTAAGTGTTTTCTGAGGGGAAATCTCAAAGGAACACAGAAGCCAAGGGGATCAGGTGGTCTAAGGGGATCAGGCTACATCTCAAATTGGCAGCAGAACTTGGCAGCATCATCCATATTGTACTGGCTTTGCAGGCACAAAAGATGTTAGACTGAGTAGGTAAGGGAGGCTTGCACCAAGGTTCCAGAAAGCTGCTGAGGCCAGGCAACATGCCTTGAATTGCCTATAAGGAGACCTTGAGAAAAGCCATTGCGTGAAGCTGGGAAAGCAAAGCCTAGGTTACAGTGAAGAGCCTGATATATTGCGAGATGCCAGGACCATGGGATATGTGCCAAGGAAAGCTGCAGGTATGGAGTAGAGCTAGCCCAATTAAAAAAATCTATGTGTGCTGTAGGTGGCAGATCTGAGGGCCATAGAGCTGCTGGAGATGGAGGGTTGATGTTTGCCTTGCTGGCTGGAGGTCTTGTTTTGGTCAAATCTTTTCTTGTTATGTCCCTACTCCTTCCTTCTAGAATAGGGATGTTTATTCTCTGCCATTGTAGATTGGTATGATGTTTGAGTGAGAAATGTCCCCCATAGGCTCAGGCATTTGAATACCTGGTCTCCAGTTGGTGGCACAGTTTAGGAAGGATATAGAACCTTTAGGAGGGAGAGTTTGGTTGGAGGAAGTACATCACTAGGGGTGGGCTTTAAGAATTACAGCCTTGCCATACTTACAGTTCACTCTCTCTGCTTCCTGATTGTGGTTGAAATGTGATCTCTCATCTTCCCTCTCCAGCCACCTGGTGCCATGCTGTCCCTGCCTCTCTGGACTTTTCCTCTGGAATCATAATCCAAAATAAGCTGTTTCTTCCATAAGTTGCTTTTGGTCATGGTATTTTTATCACAACAACAGAAAAGTAACTAATATGATTGGTCATATGTAACTTGCTTTTTGATTTCACAGAGGCTCACAGTTAAGGGAGTGTCATGAGTCTCAGAAGACACTTGGGACTTTCTGCATTTTGAGTTGAGGGTGAGACTGTAGGGGATAGAGTGGAATGTTAGGATTCAAAGTGATGTGTTTGGGTTATAAATTGACAAGAGGTGGATTTGTTATAGTCAATCTTCATTGTCAAATTAACTGCATCTAGAATCACTATAGAAACCCAACTCAGGATATGTCTATGAGTGCATTTCCAGAAAGGTTTAACTGAATAGGGAAGATTCACCCTGAATGTGGGCAGTATTATCCAGTGCGCTGGGATCCCAGACTGAGTTAAAAGGATAATGTAAGCTGAGAACCAACATTCATCTCTCTCTCTCTGCTTTCTAACTACAGATACAATGTAATCAACTGTCTCATACTCCTTATACTATGCCTACCCTCAAACTCTAAGTCAAAATAAACCTTTCCTTAAGTTCCTCTTGGAAGACTTTTGTCACAGCAACAGAAAAGTAACTAATACATTGAGCTTGTAGGCCTGGGCCACCAAGGCTGGGTAATTAATTGTTTACTTTTTTTTCTCTCTCTTTTAGACAGCATCTTCTGTAGCCCAGACTGACCTGGAACTTACTATGTATCTGGACTTCTGATCCTCCTCCCTCTGTCTCCTAAGTGCTAGGATTACAGTAAACATTACTATGTCTAGTTTATGGGGTGCTGGAGATGAGACCCAGGGCTTCATGCTGCTAGGTGAGCATTCTACCAACTGAGCTACATCGCCTGCTTAATTTTTTTTTTTTTTTTTGGTCTTTTTAAGACAGGGTCTCCCTGTAGCCCTAGCTGTCCTGGAACTCACTATGTAGACCAGGACCATGCCCAGCTTAATATTTTTAAACACTGAAACACAGTGCAGAGACAGTTGAGTGATATGGAAAAGTATTTTTAAAAGGAGTATCTTGCCAGGCATGGTGGTGCATGCCTTTAATCCCAGCACTCAGGAGGCAGAGGCAGACGGATCTCTGTGAGTTCAAGGCCAGCCTGATCTACATAGTGAGTTCCAGGCCAGCTGGGGCTACAGGGAGACCCTGTCTCAAAAAGACCAAAAAAAAAGAGAAAAGGAATGTCTTACAAATCCTCTTGTATAGGACTAGTTTTTCAAGTGATTAAAAAACAAAAAGTCAGGCATGATAGCAGATGCCTGTAATCTGTATCCAGCGCTTGAGAGGTAGAGACAGTAGGATCAGCAGTTCAAAGCCAGCCTTGACTCTACAGCAAGTTCTAGGCCAGCCTGTGTTACATGAGCCTTGTCTCAGAAACAAAAACAAAACAGCTCAAACTGGCTTAAGCCAAAGGGAATTGTTGGCTCTTAGAACAGGTGAACAAGGGATGGGGTTGGCTTGAAGAGGAGGCCTGGTGAGGTTCAAAAGATACCCTCTAGGCTAGATCTCCCCTCCCCTCTCCTTGCTTCCCATCTCCCCTCTTCTAGTCTGTCCTCCACCACCTCTCTGGCTCTCTAAGTAGATTTACTGGGGTTCCTTTCATGGTTTCAAGGTAGCGCCAACATTTCTAAGCCTCGCCTCCTAGCTTCCAGTTCAGAATGACAGACTGTCTTTTCCATAGAAAGGCCACAACTCCCACCCCATGTGCTCTTCTGACGTGGGACCTTGTCACTCCCTCAAGAGGTGGAGCCTTGCAGCCCTGGCCTGGGTCCAAGCTAGTGTCAGTGACCATTTACACCCACTAGAATGTCATAGCTTCCAAGGCTGCGACACAGGAAACCTTGCTGCTTTTGCCATGATCTCTTGTACAGTCATTCTCCAGGTTCTTCCTCTCGATATCCCTGATCCTGGGAAGCTAGCTCCTGGCTGTCAAAAGTTTGTACCACACACAGTCTGTGTCTATGTGACATGATCAACAGGTCCAGCTTCCCAGTAATACCAGGCATCCACCTTAATTTTTAATTTTTTTATTTTTTGGCTTTTTTTATTTTTAGACAGAGTCTTCCTGTAGCCCCAACTGGCCTGGAACTCACCGTGTAGACCAGGCTGGATCTGGCCTTGATGTGGATGCCAGGATTTGAGCTCAGGTCTTCAAGCTTGCAGGGCAAGCACTTTACCCACTGAGCCAAATTCCTAGCTCCTTATTTTATTTTCTTTGAGATAAATGCCAAGAGGCTGAAGTGTAATTCCCAAGGTGATACACAGTTTTAAGTGTTACTAAGAGTTTCTAACTACTGTCCAGAAACTTACCTCTTTGGACTCCTGATGTCCCATTCACAGGGCATAAGGTGACCCTTTCTTCACACTCCCATCAGCATAGAGTAGCTACCAACTGAAAAGATGAAAAACTGATTCCTGGTTACTGCTTTGATTTTAATTTCTTTGATTATGAGTGAGATCAGGCAGTTTCTCATATTTACATCTACTCTCACTAGTTCATCTTTTGCAACATTGCCTATTCATGCCCTTTGACCAATTTTTACATTGCAGCGTTTGCATATTTTATTATTGATCTATGCAAACTTTTTGTATGTTACAGGGGTAGCTTTTTGTTGGTCATACGCCTCACAAACATCTTTTGCATCTTTAAGTTTGCATGGGGGCCACTCAAACCAGATAACAAAGCCCCTTAACATGGCACAGTGTTTAAGTATTCAAAAGCAGCTGGCACCTGGCATATAATAACTTAACCAGAATTCAGCCAGAGTGGTTGCCTTAGAGAAGAGTCCAGGGTCAAGAAGCTGGAAGGCCAACAAAACTGACCATGCTGGAAAGAGGCTGTGAGTGGGAGCTGCTAATGACTCCCAGCCTCTCACTACTGGAGAATTGCCCTTGGGGAGGGGGAGCTGCCTCTCCTGGAAGGTTACACCCTCCTAGGAGGCCCACAAACGATGACAGGAGGGGATGCAGAAGGCCAACTCCTCAACTTAAGGAGGGATGGACATTTGGGTGAAGTTTGCTCCAGAGCGTCCAGTGAGACTGAGCTTAGCCCATACTTGCTCAGCTCTGCCCTTGTCTGGTTCTTCTCCCACTCCTTTCCTCCCTGGAACCACTCTTCTGATTTGCTCTGATTCAAGGGACCTTCTGCAGGAGCCTGAGCTGCAAGGTCAGACACAGATGAAAGGGATTAAAGAGGAGGAAAGGAAGGGGGGAATTCCCTCCAAAAACCAGGCTGTGAAAGAAGATGCAGTCTCTTTGTCAGGGGAAATGGAGGGGGTTCTGCTCTTGGGGCCCCTCTACTACAAACTGACACCTAAATTCCCTTGAAGACATGGCTTTCCCATTCCCCAGGGGTTTGATGGAATTCACAAACAGCTCCAGCAATGGGTTCTGGATTCATTCCATCTCAGTGTCTTATTTCCCACCTATTTTCCACACTGGCCACCAGTCATAGTGGCTGATTCAGGGTATAAAGGTCAATCAGAGCCAACAAAATGCTGGGGTTTGGGGAAGGGAAGCTCCTCTTTTCTATGGGAGCAGGTAAGCAACTATCATAATGCAGTACAGCTGTTTCTGTGACAATCACAGGAAACAGAACTAAAAGAAGGATTCTGCTGACACTGGGCCCTGAATCATACTGAACCTGAAGTCAGGCTGATACCTGAATTAGACTATTAGGAAAACCAGTAGAATAACCATTTTCTGAAGCCAGTTTAAAGAGAATTTTCTGGCCCTTATATCATGAGTCTCAGTGCTTAGTGGTATAAGCTCAGTGATTCGCACAAGGATCTGAAAGAGCCATGTCTATTAAGGGATAAGGGTCCTTCCTTTGCTGTTCTCTAGAGAATGGGGCAGGAGAGGAATCTGGGTCTGGGAGAAAGATATTTTGATACTTTCAGCTGGGTGATCTGCAGCTTGATCTCTGAGCTGCTGGCACTCCATCCAGTGTCAATAAGCCTGCTGCCTTACAGGAGCCCCATTGCACAGAGCCCACTGCTCAGTGCCCAGCCCATTCCCTGGGGGAACTTGGAGTCCTCTGTCTCCTACAGGGCCCCTTCCTGTGTCACTGTAGGCTTCTCTGCCTCTACCTGGAGCAAGTGCCACATTCAGGCCAGAGGAGAGACTAAGTGAGATACTCGAGGAGCTCACGCTCCTCAGCAGGAGACAAAATATGCAGAAACCAGGCCCTGCCTAGTCCAGCTATCCCCATGGGGTGTCATTAATTCCCCCAATGCAGGTGTGATCCAGGTTCTGAGCTGGCCGGGGACCAGGGTACAGGCAACAACCTGTCTTTTCTCTTGACCAGGTTCTCCACTGTGAGCCTTAGACACTGACTTTACCCTTGTCAGGTACAAGGGGGATGAATGCCCCAAGAGAAAAGCAGCTGAAAGTCAAGACCAAAGCAAAAGAGTGAGGGACTGCATCCCACATGAGAGGGTCTGCAAGACTTGAGGTGCAAGCCCCTGTGAGAGAACTGAGTACATAAAGACAAGTCTGTGTTCAGGATTAGAAAAGCGAATCAGGCAGCATAATGAGAGCCTGTGTAGATTTCAGGCTCAGCCTTGGGGAGGATAAGCCAGAGGTTCTCTGAGGTTCTCTGGGAAGTGGCAGGAACAGGTTTCCTTGCCAGTGTTGAGGAGGTTGGAACAGGAGACCCTTGGAAGGCAGGTGCAATGGTCTGGAGGAACACCCATGGGGAGCTGAATGAAGGTTAGGGACCGTGGGATAAGTTCTCTGGACCTGCCTCCTTGGGGACGAGTGACTATAAAAAGTTATCTTCACTTGATTCACAATGGGTGCCTCCCAACTCAGTCAGCCCCCTTCCTCAGATGGTCAGCTCCATGCTGGCCACCTGTTCCCACTGCCAGGTGATGTGGGCAGCAGGGATCATTAACCCAAGCCATGACCTCACCCTACCTCCCACACATCTAACTGAAGAGAAGCCCCTCCTCCATTTCCACTCCTCTGGGCCGCCACCAAATTGGGCATTTCCCTCCCTTGGAGGGACACACTTGCCATTCTGCTACCCCCTGTAGCACACACAGAAGCACCCAAATCACATGGTCTCTGAGAATGAGCATGTGACTTGAAGTCAGGTGGCTTGGCTATGGCTTCCACCTATGCTGTTCATAGGCCATGTGGCCCTCAGGTCCTCCATGAATTGTGGATAAATTGCCTGCCCCCCTCCAGGGATGAGAGTGAATGTACATACAGGGACCTATGTAAGCCCTTAAAGCACAGCTTAAACATCTGTGCATATTTTCCTTCATCCACCTATCTCTATTGAGCTCTGACAAAAATCCCAGAGTGTGAACCCATCTCTGGACTTCCACATTCATGACCTGGGCCAGCCATAGCATATTCATACCCTGCAGTGGGGAGAGCTTTGCCAGAAAAGCAAGCTGTACTCACATGGCCCAGGTGACTAATGGAGAAATGGCTTAAATTAAAGGAGGAAGGAGTTTATCAAGACTAATGTCCCAATAAGGTAAGCTTGTTGGTTCTTGCTAATCCATCCAGAAGAAGATAATCCATTAAGTACTTTGCCCAATGAGTGGTTGTATGGAGTTGATATAATTCAGTCATATGATTTGCCAAGAGGTGGGGGAAAGGATCTGATGACTTTTCAGGACACCCTCATCTATCTGACTTCCTAAGTGTCATATATACCAATTGTCTTGCTCAGTGTAAGGAACAGAGTCTAGAGCAAGCACTCAGTATCTCAAACCAGCTACACAACCTTGGAGAAACTTCCCTTTCACACCTTTTCTGAGCTCTTTTCTCTCCTGAATGTCCTCCTGAATGAGAAATATAATGATATAACTGTCCAAGAACATGTCTGCACTTTGCATTCCATGAGTGTTTGTTGGATGAATGCATGAGTGAATGAATGAATGAAAAAATGAATGGCACTAAGATCCATGATTCATGCTAACTCTTCTTTCCTTTCTGGGTCTGTGTGTTTTACCTATCAAATGTGTGCACTGGGCCCCCCGTCCCCTGGTTCCTTGTTGGATCAGACTTCTATGATCTGCCTCTGTGCTGAGGCTGAGGACTGGAGGAGGGCAGTAGGGAATTTGGGGTCTTCATTTTCATGCCCAGCGGCTCAGGTTGCCCTCCACGTTTCAGGGCATGGGCAGCAGGTATGCACTCCTGTTCCCACGGGGCTGCCTGACTTGGGAGAGTGGTCAGATCTGCAGCCCAGCACTGACCTGCTCTTAACCCCTAGCAAAGTTACACAAACTCTTCCACGCTCTGCTGAAAGCTGGTCCAGTCTAGTTATGTAAGGTCGGGGAGGGAACAATGCTTCTCCTTGTGCCCTCAGCCCTTTCCATCTCATCACACAGGGCAGAGGAACACAGGGACAAGTGGGGGGGGAACCTGGCTCAAGTTTCAGTCAGGCTTGGAAACTGGATCTTCCTCCCCACCAGAGCTATGGAGCATGAAGGGGGCTGGAGCCTGGATCTCAGCAGGGTTTCACTTCCTCCTCTCCATCCCTTCAGCAAATGCACTGGACCTCATGGTGATAACCATAGGAGAGTGGTCCACTCTGAAATCAGGAAGCCTCTCTCTGGTTCTGCTGCAGTCAAGGAAGATACTAAGGAGTGGGCTCCCCAGGGGCTTAGAATGCAGGACAGACTCTAATTCCAGACTCTGACCCGGCACCTACCACCCTAACACTCCATTTCCTCATTGGCTCAAATAGTGCCTACCTCTAGAATTGTTATGAGGGGGAAAATGAGTTCTTATGCATGCTACCCTTACCACACACCAGCTGACTCCACAGGTTTAGCAGGAAGAGGCATACTTGCTGTCCTTCCTCAGCTTCCTAGAGAAAAGCAAATTGTTCAAATTGTCTAACACAGAACAGAACTACTTAAAGTACGTGAAACTAGCTGTCAAAATTGTGAAACATAATCATAGTTTTGATTGCTTTGTGACGGTATAAAAACTTGCAAATTTTTCATCAGGCGAGAAAAGAAAAACAAAGAGGAACGATCATCAGCCCATCACCCCTCCCATTGTGTTCGTATGCCCATCTGAATTAGTTTACTCATGTTGACACACGCTCAGCTCTGCCTTGCTTAAGACACACATTTCTTATTCTTCTTCAGTCATTTCGCATTTAGGCTAGAGCTGTATGGTGGCTGGTTCCTTTCCAGATAACTGCCATTGTTTGAAAACAATGTCAAAGGCTCTCCTCTTCTCTCTGGCAGTCTGCCACCTCAGTGCCTCTGTCTCCTTCACTGACCTCTCTTCTGCCCCAGGATCTGCTTCTTTTCTTCCTTGGTTAAGAATCCCTGGAAGAGACGAAAAAGGAATCCTCAATGTCTCGAAGTGAGATAAAGAATCATGACTTAGTTGAAAGATTTCAGCACCACGGACAGAGGCACCCCCAATCCGTGTCTGCTTGTCCAAGACTCCCAAATATCATATCTATATTGTAGCTTCACTTGTCTGAGACTTAGTTTCCTCTTTTGTAGAATGAGGAGAAGGGGATGGCTGGGAGGACCAGAGGTAGGCAAGGCCATCTCTAAGAGCTCTTACAGCTCTGTGGCTTGAAGTTCGTCTTCCTTCCATTTCTCTCTCTACCTATCCTTCCCCTCCTTTTTCTATTTTGATAGAGAACTTCCATTCACTTTAGTGGCCTGGTAGCCATTGCCCAGATGAGAGGCCAAAGGCCAAGCTCCAAGTGAGAGGAACAGCAAACTAGCCCTAGAAACTCCAGGATCTTGACCTTGAATAAACTCTCGACTTACCCCTCTGCCTCTAGTCACCTAGAGATGTTGGATACAGGCTGGCACAAGGCCGAGTTGCTGTAACAGAGTCCAGAGTCCTCTGGCTGGAGGTACAGAAAGACTTCTCTAGTTCTTATGTGACAGGGACTGTCTTGCTCCACGTAACTGTACAAAAGCCCAGCTTCCTCTGGAAGGCTTGCTATCACACTCCTCCACCCCCAGGGATGCCCTTGACTTCAGGATCACACTGGGTCAGAGCTGGGCCTACAGAACATCTTTAGGAAGGATCAAAAGTAGCAGGAGCACATGAGTAATATTTTAAGGGTCAAGTCCAAAAGCAACAACCATGTGACTCCATGTGACTTAGTCTTGGCTACACCAAGCCACAAGAGGATGGTTTCTAGTTGGGCTGTTTGTCTGTATACTTATTTAAGACAGGATCTCCTTTAGCCCAGGTTGGCCTCAAATTTTCTATGGAACCAAAGATGACCTTGAACTCCTGATCTTCCTGTCTCTACCTTTTGAGTGTTGAAATTTCATGTGGTGCTAGAGACTGAACCCAGGACTTCTTGCATACTAGGCAACCTCTCTATAGGCTTAGTAACACTTCCAGTCCATGGTTGAGATGCTTTCATTTTTCAAAATAAATTTTTATTTTAGGGTATTTGTGGGAGAGGAGAGTGAGAAGAGAGAGAGGGGGGGAGGGAGGTATGTGAGTGCTGATACATATGTGGAGGTCAGATAACAACTTTCATGAGTTGGTTCTATCCTTCTACTGAGAGTTCCAGGATTGAACTCAGGTTCTTATGCTTAGGCATCAAGTTCTTTACCCCACTTGACTGTCTGTACCATCTTGCCAGCCCAAGCTGGTGTGTTTTAAAAGAAAAGAAGAAATAGCCAGGTGTGGTGACATATACCTTTAATCCTATTACTTGGGAGGCAGAGGCAGGCAGATAACTGTGAGATTGAGGCCAGCCTGGGATGGTCTACATAGTGAATTCCAGGAAAGCTGGGGATACATAGTGAGATCCTATCTCAGAGAGAGAGAGAGAGAGAGAGAGAGAGAGAGAGAGAGACTTGGGTTCAACAAGTCCACCACAAATGCTACCCTCCACTTAATGAATGAGGTAGAGAATGGAAATGGGAAGTTTTACTGCGGGAAAGGAGTTTATTGAAGTGAACCCTGTGCTAAGTGCTTTCCTGTGCTCTCCAAATGACCTGGAGTCTCGTCTTCCCATGTGTCCAGTCTTATCCAGTCACCTCCCCACCCTTTGCTTCTGCTATCTCCTCCATCTGGAACATTGCTGTCTTTTGGATGGAGTTAGGCCTGTGCATCCTTCAAGCTCAAAAATAATCTCTTTGATTGTGGAATTTTAGAACCAGAAGAGCCACGAAAAGCCATGGTGGTTCATCACTCACTTTTGAAGTGAGGAAATTGATGCTTAAAGTGAGAAAGACACTTGTCCAGGGTCACACAGTAAGGTATCTCCCTGACCCTGCAGCCCACGGCTCAGACTCAAGACTCAAAACCCAATGTCCCTTCACAGCACTGAGAAATCCCTGCCTTCCTCACAGGCTTTTGTTCTGTCTTGTTTTGGGACTTTGAACAAATCTCCTGGCCATTCTATCCCTCAGACTCAGACTGTGATATAAAAAGGTCGGATGAAAGTATCTCAAGGCAGCTGGATATGGTGGCACACACCTGTTATCCCAGCACTTGAGAGGCAAAAGAAGGAGGATTGAGAATTCAAGGTCAGCCTCATGTACATCCTGAGTTTGAAGCCAGCTTAGGGCAAATGAGACTCTGTCTCTAAAAAGGATTATCCCAAGTTTCTATCAGGATGTAAATTTAGCTCTTTTCCAACAGAGCCTTCTAGACTCTCAGATCCTGACTCCTCTTCAGTGATATTGAGATACCAGACAAAATCACAGAGTCTCTGTTCCCTTCCATAGGGGGATTCATAGGTATATCAACAAGAGGACTCCCTTCCCCAGACATCCCTAAGGACCAGGTATGGCACTGGGCCCTCACCATGCTCTGCCTTTCTTCATCTGGAAGGCAGGTATTATGATCCTCATTTTTTGAAGATGAAGAAACTGAAGCTCTGAAAGGTTGCTAGCTGTATGGGGCAAATGGATTCTCTTTTACCCTAGCGGAAGAAGAGAGGGGGAAGAAGTTCTCAGGAGATTTTGTCTTGATATATTAAAGGCTTCCTATCAGAGCTGCCACTAGAGAGATGGCTGTCATGAGGGTGGGGTTCCCATCCTGGAGGTGCCTCACAATGAGTGGACCATCAAAGGGTTTTAATAGCAGGTGGGTAAAGGCAGAGCCAAGGGGTGAACCATCTCTGTGATGCCCAAAGGTTCCTTTAGGAGATACATCAACCAGTATTGACTAGTCCAGCTCATGCAAAGATGAAATACTACTCAGTTTTCACTTTCTGATTTTGACTGAGAGAAAGTCTGTTTGGTACCTCTCCATTTGCAGACCTCCCCATGACAGGTAAATCTATTTCTTTTTTTAAAAAAAAATATTTATTTGTGTGGTATGGGGTATGTGTGTGTGTGTGTGTATGTGTGTGTGTATGTGTGTGTGTGTTTGTAGGTACATACATGGCACAGTATGCATGTGGAGGTCAGAGGACAACTTGTTGGAGTTGGTTCTCTCCTTCCACCATATGGGTCTCAAGGATCAAATTCAGGTCTTCAGGTGTGGTAGCATGCTCCCTACTAAATCATTCTGCCAGTCTGTAAATTCCCTTTCTAATGGGGGAGATGAAGCCTTGGGTTCAGACTCAGAAGCATTGAGCAAGATTCTGCTAAGACGGAATAACATGAGGCCTCTTGAATATATATGTTTACATTTATACATTTTTTTCTGTTTTGTTTGTATGAGACAGGGTCTTGTTATAGCTCAGGCTGGCCTTGAACTTCTGATCCTCCTGAGCGCTGAAATTATGGGTATGAACTACCATACTCAGCTATTTTATTTACTTTTATACTTACCTTCTTTCATGACAAATGATTCTGGTTTCCCTATTATTGTATGATGTGAAGTTCCAGCTTAATATAAATTATTTTGGAGATAGAGTCTCATATACCCTAAACTGGTCTTGAACTTGTTATGTAGCTAAGGCTGGTCTTGAACTCCTGATTCTTGATCTTCTTTGCCTCCACCCTCCAACTGCTGAAACTACAAGTATGCACCATGACATGTGGAACTAAAATGAATTTATTTCAAGAAAAAGAAAAGACAAGCCAGAGACTGAAAGAAAATGTTTGCAAGATATTAAAATATTGAAAAGCTTATAATTGAAATGTACAAAGAGCCCTAAAACTCAACAATAAGAAAACAAACTACTCAATGAAAAAAGTGGACTGAAGATGAGAACAGTCTTTTCCTCAGTGGATACGCAGATAGAAAACAAGAATTTAGAAAGATGCTCTGACTCATGTCATTAAAGACCTGCAAACCATGAGATGTCACATACCCTAATAAGCATGAACAAAGACCAAAGTATTAGCAACATAAGTACCAATGAGAGTGAAGACCAGCAGGAAGCTATTCATTTGTTCATTACTAGAGGGAATTCGAAACAGTATGCCCCCCCACCCCATTCTCCCTCCCTGCTTTAGAACACACTTTGACAGTGTCTACCTAAGGCAAATTCATGGCACTATATCATCTAGCGATGACACCTGAGGTGCTTAGCCAACTGAGTTAAGACCTATCTCCACATAAAAACACTGCACATCAAAGTCCATAGCAACTGTATTCAAAATCACCCAAACTTGAAAGTAACTAAGATGCCCTTCAATCAGTGAATGGATAAATTCATGCAATGAAATATTATTCCGTGTTGAAAAATGGAGAAGCCAAGCATGGTAGCAAACACCTTTAATCCCAGCTTTCTTGAGGCAGATGCAGGCTGATCTCTGTGAGTTTGAGGCTAGCCTGGTCTACATAGTGAGTTCCAGGCCAGTCAGGCTGCATAGTAAGACCTTGTCTCAAAAAAAAAAACTATCAATTAACTGAATGTATTTAAGTTGAAGAGGTTTGTCTACTAACAATTTTATTTTAAAAGTACAGATATATAAGACACTTGAGAAAAGCACTATGTGTAATAGTTGAATGCCCACCACCAGAAAAGTGGATAAACTTTTCAGTAGATTCATAAAATACTATGCAGCCTTAATAAAGAACATGCTTCTGGGGGCTGTAAAGGTGACTCAGCAGTTGAGAGCACTACCTGCTCTTGCAGAGAACCTGGGTTTGAGTCCCAGCACCTACATGGTGGCTAACAACCATTTATAACTCCAGTTCCAGGGGATCTGATGTCTTCTTCTGACCTCTGTGGGCATTGCATGATACAGGTACATTTACACACATACAGGCAATACATTCATACACATAAAAAATAAATAAGAACATGCTTCTGTTACATACAACTGGAATGAATCTCACAACACCATGCTGAGTGTGAGAAGAGCAGTGGGTCAATCCTACATGAATCCCCTTCTGCATGCTGGATGCACAGTGTGTTCATTATGGTCATTCATCT